ACCTAATTCCTGCACAAATGGTATCAGAGGGGGCTTCGAATTCAAACCATGTGCAAATCTCCGAAACCACTTTTTCGTGAGCTGTGCCTTTAATGTTACAAATGGCTAATATTGTATTCAGCTACCTCTAAGCAAATCGAAGTTACGCTGTTCAGGGATCTATTATATCCAAATCATTTTTATGACAGCCCCCTCCCCTCCCCCTTCCCCCACTCTCCTCCCAAAAAGGCCCATTAACTGGCTTCTGATAGATCAGCAGACCAATCAGTCCCATCTTCTTCTTTTGCAGCTTCCTAGAGGGCGACAATGAGGTCCGCAATTGAAAAACGTACTAGCCTATCCATTCCACCTAATTATTCCTCTGCTCTTCACCAACTGTTTCATTGTGCTCTCGAAGTATAGCGATGAAACTTCAGAACCAAGGGAGTGAGTAAGAATTCCGCTGTGGGAATTGGGAAGACCAATCATTAGATGACTAGTGCAAATGCCTGCTAATTTTTCATCTAACAACTAAAATAAATAAAGAAATAAGAAGAAAACATTAATTGAAGGTCGTGTCTTTAGGCATCAGTTTATGCCGGCCAACTCCATGATGCATTCTACATGTATGCAAAAGCACTGAATATTACCCTTCAAATAGACTCAGATGGATACCGTAATGGATCGCTGATGTTCGACAACATTATGATGAAGTTCCAAGGTAAAGCTTCGAGATCTTTATGATACAGTATTCTTGTGCCGTCCGAGATTGTTAGGTGGAACAATTTATTAGTCAACGTCCTAACGTTTTGACGTTTTCGTCTTCTTCAGAGGCCTGAAGCAACTCGAGACAATTTGCACAGTGTCCATAAAGCGCATTACCCCCTGGAGAATGTGACGGCGAATACAAAACCCATAAAACCATAACTCACCAAGTTACACCGCTTAGGCGGATGTAAAAATCCGCTGTCGCCACGGGCGACTGTCAGTAGCGAATGAGACTTCTTGGCTGTCTCCCCTATACTTGTGATAAGGAAGATCACGTTATAATGCTACTGAGTCATAAGTCGCAGTGCGTTATATATGGCAAAAGGTCGTTGGTTATGTACGGGCACTCATCTCTACCGTTCATTTAGGATTGCTGTGGAGAATCCAGAACGCCTCGAATGCCTTTCTCGCTGTAATCTCTGTCGACTCGTGACTCAGTAGCATTATAACGTGATCTTCCTTATCGCAAGTATGAGGGAGACAGCCAATAAGTCTCATTCGCTGCTGACAGTCGCCCGTGGCGACAGCGGATTTTTATATCCGCTTAAGCGAAAGAACCTTGGAAATTCTCCGTCACATTTGCCAAGGGTAATGCGCTATTTGGATACTGTGCAAATTGTCTCGAGTTGCTTTAGACCTCCTAAGAAGACGAGAACGTCGAAACGTTAGGCCGTTTTCTGATAAATTGTTCCATATAACAACCTCGGCACAAGAATACTGTATCATAAACATCTATGCTGAGGTTAAAGCAAGAGAGAAGTTGGGAACTAAAGCTTCGAGATTTATCTCAACCTTAGGATAACAGATTCTGAAAGATTGGAAAAAGGCAGCTGCCCAAACTCTTATTTTAGCTAGGGGTCTATGCAATGTATGCATTGCTCTATTACTTGTCTATGATTGAGGGAGGAATAACCCGTTGGTCTTCAATTTTAGCGCACGGATGACAAAAGTTTTCCCGATTGAGGCCCCGATGAGCACGTGCAGTCCCGTGGTCACGCTAAGTAAGGTTACCTGCTCGTGCTTATCTCACATTTTTTGAGAGGTCCCAACCCCTCCTCCAGTCGGTCATGTTAGAGTGCCCTTTGCTCGATGATGATTTTCCATTCCCCTAGTAGATTCCTCACATGCTATACAACTGACAGTCCGTCTAGGAACCCCCTCGATGGCACTTTTGTCGTCCTAATCTCAGATAGCCCCTTCTATTTTACTTTTTTATCGAGTTGCTTTGTTCCTTGTGCTTTCTTCGGTTCAAATTTGGGTATAAGCAAAACCGGCCGAGATGGAAATGAAAGGTTGAAATTTATGGCCAAAAGCAACGATTTCATTCAGGTGTGTCAGGTCCTGTCGACATCAGTGCGAACGGTACACGCAAACCCGTATTCTACCTTGACGGTTTGGACAGCTCGGGTGTACAGGTCCTTTATGGAACCGTCGCTGTTGATGGATATAAAGGGGTAATACCATTTTCTTTGGTTCTTTTTCGAAAATAGGTCGTCAGCTATGACTAGATGGTATTACCATATCCGTAGATATCCTAAAAATTTTCATCATAACAATTAACCTACCAGTTCAAAACCAGTTCAACTAGATCCTTTTCACATATTGAAGTTAATCGCAAAAGTGCAAGTAGAGAACCTCCATTTCTATTTCTGATTAGGTCCCTCTTTCAGTATTGGTCTCAGATGATGTCTTACTCAGGACAACATTAATATTATATTTCTTGCCCAGTTGTCCACTAGCACTGAATTCTGAAGGAAAATTAACTTGTTTTATAGGCCTTCAAACCATTATACACCAATGAAGCCCTTTTATGGTGGGCTAGAGGTGGAGTTCGTCCGTTGGCAGTACCAAAGTGTGGATTCTCTGGAAACCAGGTAAGCACAGCCTTCTGAGAAAGTGATCTGCAATAAATTTCAATTTTTGATGGTTCAAAATGTAACGGGGGATAGAAATCAGCAATCCTTTTATATTCTCGAATAAAATGGTTTTCTCGAATTTCGGATGCTCTAAGGACGCGCTGTGAAGTTCTCGATCAATCTGTATTACTATCGGAGCCTTCTTAAAGGTTTGGCTTCCCTGCTGTTGGAGAGAGCCAAATTATCCGGTTCTTGGTAGAGCGAAGCAATACCGAATTGATCTATCGACCCGAGCCTATTTCATTGAGGTAGCTTCCCCACTTCACCTCCTCTATTTCTTGGGAAAAACGTGTGATTGAAAGAATCAAATTATGGCAATCCTACGACCTAAAGAGGGAAACTTATAAATCCTAGTAGGGTCACAGTTTGATCCGTATTGATTAGTGGATCGCTATAAGCAGTAGCGATTGATTTGCAACGTTAAACAACACAGGCAGAGCACACATTACTTGCTACTAGATTTGTGGAGGGGGGGGGGGGGGGGG